GTAAAACTCTATTAAACTAAAACTGTGGGTGGTTGGTGGGTACTCTGGTGTGGTTTGCTGCTACTTCTTTACTGATCTCCCCTCCTTTTTCTGTGTAGTGTATGTTACTCTCTTGTAACGCCCCTAGTCTTCGGCACTTATATGACCTTAGTGTGTGACAAGTGCCGTAAAATGCTTACTAAAACTAAAAGCTTACACTCCTCACTCGCTGGTAGAAACATTTAATCTTCAGCACTTTTATTATTACCCTACTAGAATATAGTGGGGTGTGATATTTCTGTTCTGTCCAGCATATATCGCCTTCATCTAAACCTCTACTAAAACTAAAACTAAAAATGTTTGACAATGTGTCAGACATTTTGTGTTGGAGGAAAAACGTGCTCTTTACAGTGAAATCAGGCGCACCTCGAAATAACAACCCCCCGGGGCAGTGCCACTGACTGAAGTGTCTTTAGGCCTTTCCCAAAGGGGGGACATTTCTCGTTCAAGCATAGTAGAATTGTAAATGGGCTGATTCATGTCACGCTCATAACTGTGCCTGATCTACAACAGGGAACTGCTGCTTTTTCTATCCTGATCCTTACTATTGTCATTTTCCTTTACTTCTTTTGTATGTTTGTCACTCTCTTGTGACCTGCTATTTTGGGGTGCCTTGATAGTCGAAGCAGACCTTGTGCTGTTGAAGCTAGAGAGGTGAAAAGTACTCTAAGTCTGATTCCCTGTAAAGACTTCTCTGTTGACACCCACCCCTTGGCGCTCATATGACCTTATGCTGTTGCGAGCGCCGTAAAACCCTCTACTATAATAAAAATAAAAAAAAAAAAAAGAGCAAGGGAGGAGAACTCTTTGTGTGCTGATTAGAATTGTGATATTCGTGGTTGTCTCCCTTGGGCTGATTTGTCTGCTGGCTTGTTGTCGTGTGGAAATGTGGGCCATATACTATTATTATCATTTTGCAAGATTGTGGTCCTGGGAAGTGTCTGTGAATGAACGGAAAAGTTTTTTTTTTTTTTTTTTTGTGGCTGTGGGTGGTTGGCGGGTGCTCTGGTGTGGTTTGCTTCTTCTTTCCTATCAAACCTCTATCGTCCTTATCTCTCCTCCCTTCTTTTTTGTGTGTTTGTTACTTTCTTTTAACTCCTCTAATCTTCGGCACTTATATGACCTTATTGTGTTGCAAGTGCTGTAAAACTTTTACTAAAACTAAACTAAACTTTGTAAAACTGTTTTTTAAAACTTTTGACAATCGTGACTAGCTTCTAACGTTTTTTTTGTCTTTTTTTTTTGTCTTTCCAGTCATCGAAAGAGTACCTCCAGAGGAACATTGAGGAATGCAAGAACAACGTGAGGGAGCTGGTGATGAGTAAACAGAGCTCTCGATGAAGGTCGCCGCAAGAAGATAGATTTCTGAACATTTTATGAAATATAGGCTGGGCTTTGTGACAAAAGGTAGTGGTAGGCCTATAGACCTATACCGTTCCTGAAAAACGAAAAAAGTTATCCAAAAATTTAATTTTGATTCGCAATCCTGGATGTTGGAAAAAGCTTCATCGAAACAGCACAGAATCATTTTTAATTTTAGCATGTTTTATAACGAAATATGTTATTCCAGTGAAGATTAATTAAAGATCACTTTTGCAGTGTAAATGGAAAAAAAATGCAGAAGTTTGATAATTGGGGTTATCTCATTTTGCCACAAAGCCCGTTATATTGTCTGTCCGTGTGCTTGTGTGTCCGTGTGCTTGTGTGTCCGTGTGCTTGTGTGTCCGTGTGTGCGTGTGTGTCCGTGTGCTTGTGTGTCCGTGTGCTTGTGTGTGCGTGTGTTTGTGTGTCCGTGTGCTTGTCTGTCCGTGTGCTTGTCTGTCCGTGTGCGTGTGTGTCTGTTGCTGGCGCACCGTGTAATTTTTTACGCGCGTGTGAATGATGAGAAAATTCTAAAGTGTATAGTGTGCTGTTTGAAGAGTAGTATTGTGTGTGTGTATATAAATAGTATGTCGGTTGAGCTCTTCTCTTGTTTCCTGTCGCATGTCGTGTGCAAGTCTGATCAACGCCTGAGTCTCATCATGTATCATCTCCTGGGATGGAGCCAGAGGGGTGGGGGGAGGGGTGGAGGACTATGTCAAGTACAAGAGTCGAAATTGTCCAAGAGGGCCAGCCATTGTCATGTAGAAAAGTGGTACGGTAGTCTCAGACAGGTGAAAGTCTTGGACAATGTCATTGGAATTTTGAAAAGTAATTTGGGGGGGGGGGGGGGGGGGTTTGATGTTCTATTTACAAACAGGAAATGGTTGTTTGGGGAGGG